ACTCCCCGGGAAATTCTACCCCTGTTTCATATATAATTCTTTTAAATTTAGTCAATTATTTCCCGAAAAATTAGAAGAATTAGAAAAATCGGTTTCCAGAAAATCGGTAGCAAAAAAATGGCTACGACATTTTCATCCCCGGGAAATTCTACCCCTGTTTCATATACTTTTGGTAAAAATTCGGTCCACTAACGAATGAGTAGTTCGCGTACATACAGACAGACAGACAGACAGACAGACAGACGGACGGTACTTATATATATAGACTAGCTTTTCGGCCCGCGCTTCGCGCGGGCCTCAAAGCTATTCCCCCGCCAATCAGCTTTTCGGCCCGCGCTTCGCGCGGGCCTCAAAGCTAATCCCCCCGCTGACTCACTATATTATTAGCTCTCATACAATTTTTTATTTGTTTAATTTATAAAACTTCTTTGTATACGATATTTTTTGTATAAGATTCTGGATTTTTTTCAATGAGATGTCCTTGATTGCTTGTTTCATCAATCTTAATTTTGACATTTTCCTTTTTGGTTGCTCTAGAAAATGCCACATAGAGTTGACCATGAGCAAATACAGGATGTGGCAGATAAATCCCAACTTTTTGTAAAGTTTGTCCTTGAGATTTATTTATTGTCATAGCAAATGATACTCGAATAGGAAACTGTCTCCGTTTAAGCTTGAATGGAACTTCCGAGTCATTTGTAATGAAATCGATTTTTGGGATGAAGACAATCTGGCCTCGAGCAGGACCAGTTAGAACCTCCGCATAAATAAGATTATGTTTCAAATCTGTAACAATAAATCTTGTGCCATTGCAAAGTCCTTTCTTAGTATTTAAATTTCTTAATAAGATAATTGTAACACTGACTTTTATTTTAAGTCGATGAACTGGCATTCCAGAAGGTGTCATAGAATTTAAAAACTCAGTCGGATAATTCAATTGCTCTTGTGGATCATCACTTACAATAGAGTCAATTGATAGATATTCCTTTTCTTCTCCTTCCATTAAACGAAGGATTTCGTCATTAATTTTGAAAGTATCTTCATTCTTAGGACAAAGAATCGCTCGATCTGGATTTTCTCTAATCTGTTCCATGGTGATTCTATCACCAAAAATCTCAGTAATAATAGATTCTTTTGATATAAAATCCTGGGGGATTTCAATTGTATCAAGATGTAATCCATCTGTACTTGACAATTTACCATCTCCTAATTGCATTAGCCAATTTGCAAATTCCTTTTCATCCGCAGTTCTCATATTTTGCTGTAATTTAACCTGAGTTACATTTCTCCATATAGGATTGTATTTGACAGTTGACTCAATTATGGCTGCTTTATGTGCATGAGGTACTACTGGGAGATTTTGTCTGAAATCTCCTGCAAATAAAATAACTTTTCCTCCAAATGGTCTAGGATTCTTCATTAGATCCTTGAAGAGTTTATCAACTGCTGTTAAGGCATGCCCAACCGTCATGCTCACCTCATCCCATATAATGAGTTTAGCAGAGATCAGTTCTCGTGCAGCTTGAGAGTTTCCTCTTATATTAGATTTAGCTCCATCATCAATTGGTATTGAAAGTTTGAACAGGGAATGATAAGTTTTTCCTCCTTTTAGAAGTGTGGCTGCAATGCCAGTTGAAGCACATGGAATAACCATTTCGTTTTTTCCTCGAATAACACTCAGAAATGTGTTAAATAGATAGGTTTTTCCACTTCCTGCAAACCCGTCAATATAAAATAACCGCTGAGGTTCATTCTCATTGTCAATCGCTCGCATAACTATATCGTACACGTATCTTTGTTCAACATTTAATGTTGATAATAAATAGTCACCACGTCTTCTTTCTTCATCTACATTATATTCTGTGACGTAAATATTCACTGGAATTGGATTTGGCAATTGGAAGTTCTCACAGCTACTTCCATTATTTTTCAGAATTTCTTGTATATGGTTTAAAGCCATATTTTCAGGATTGACAACATTGTTGTGTACAAAGTCCTCAATCATGTGATCTTTATATTTATTCCAAAGAGTTAGTACATCTGTTGGAGTTCCATAAATGCAAATGTAGGCAAATAGCTCTCGAAGTTGTACGGGCATTTTGGAATCTGTTGCTTCTTCCAGCGTTTTTTCCCAAAGATCATCAGCTTCTACCAAATTTTTTGCAATTGCTGCATCCTTAAACGTTTTATAAAGAACTCCATTTACAGTTCTCAAATCTTCAAAACATTTAGCTCCAACTACATGAAGTAGAAGAAGACGGAGATAAAATCTCTCAATATCTTTTATACTTACTGTATAAAGTCTTGAAATTATTTTATCACCACCCTTTTTGCGTAGCTTCCACTTAGTTTCTTTTTTATCATAGATATAATGATAAGGAATATCTGTGTAAAGAAAATGCACCGCATTTTCATCAGATTGATTTAATTTAAACCATGCAGTCAACGTGGTATCTCGAGTTAGCTCTCTTTGAGCAGCTTGTTCTTCATTTCCCGCTCGGAAATAAACCATTTGGCGATTAGGCAAATGAACTGCCAGTCTTATTACTGTGTGAGACTTCATGAACAGATCATATCCGTTCAGTCTCCACATTGCTTCTGGAGCACTAACATATCTTGCATCCAGGTATGAATTAACTTCATCTATTTTAATTAACCTTGTGCCATCTTGTGCTTGTACTTCAATTGCAGCACAATCAAATCCTTTATGAATATATTTATATAAGTATTTTACGCTCTTCACTGATGAACATATTTCCAAATTGATATGTCGATCATATTTCATAATTAAATATGGTGAATATGGTACTACCCATCGATTATCAATTTTTTTTCCTCTGACGATGTATTTTTTCTTAAAATTCCTTCGTTGATACATAGGATATCCATTTACATTAGCATTAGTTTCTTCACGAAACTCTTTTGGAAAACCTTTTGAACATTTTCCATCATCCCCAGTGCAAGGATATCTCTGAGAGTGATCTCCACAAGGACCATGAATCATGTGCCTCAAAATTTTTACATTAAGTTCTGGATATCTTTCTTTATCAGGAATTTCAGCCCATACCATCATGTCAATGACTTCTTGAAGTCTGGGCTTATCTTCATCACTCAACATTGCAAGTAAATGCAAATGTGGAAGTCCTCTTTTTTGAAATTCAATCACACCTGCATAAGCTACAATATTTCCAAAAATATTATTTTGGGTTAAATCTTTTAAAACTTCTTTGACATCCAAATTAAATGTTTTTGCGACCAAATCAGGTCAAAATTCAATTAAACATCCATCAAGATTATCTTTAATTTCGGGGCATTGAGGATTGCAAGTCATCGTAAGAAAAATATCAGGTTTACCAAACTTTCTAACCAGAGACATGGCATCTTGATATCTTTCTTGCATATTTCTTGGACTGCCCATAAATGAAGATGGTAATATTACAGGTATACCAGCTTTAATTCCTTCATTTTGTGCTCGATTATCTAGGTGATCCATTAATCCCGAATAAAGTTCTGCTCTTAATTGAGGTTGATTTAATTTAATATAATTAAGCCTATTTGCTTCAGTTTTCATATAAGCATCAAGTATAAACTGACATCTTAATTTTCCTGCCTTTTTAAATTGACTAAATTCAACTCTTGGTGCCAACAGGTGAGCATAATAATCCATTTGAGTTACTTTAAATCCTGGATATTTAGGATTATATGATTTAAGTTGTGAATGCCATCCATCGTTACCATATGGATATAACAACGGATAACACATTGGATCACATCTTTTGTCTAGAATTGATATTTGTTGAACATCGTTCGAATTTTTGTTATAAATTCGAATATCTCTCTCAAATGGAGGCTCACCATCAACATTTTGAAAAACCACAGCTATTTCATTAGCTCGTGGAGCATTGTATCTTCTTTGATCGTGTTGAGGATCATTTCGAAAGGACAACATTAAATTTATGGCTTTATTGCCTCTCGGATTAAGATCTTGTTCAACTTGACGCATCATCTTAAAAGTTTTTGCAAATTCATTGCTTTGGATCATAAAGCAGGACAAATCTTTCATTAAGACTGGATCACACTTTTGATTAGCTTTATTATTCATTCTATGATTAATAGCTTCTTCTGTATCTAAAAAATAAAGCTGCGCAAAACGCGGAGCTTGCCCATCCGCTGGGCGCATTGCCGTTGTGGTCAAATGATGATATTGCCCATGAATCTTCAAGCAATAAGGAGCATTGTTCACAACATCCAATGGATTTCTATTGCCCGGGGCACCCATGGAAGCCATAGCTAAAGCGCTATTATATGAACGAATATTATCAAGAAAATTTTTTGATACAGAATCATTTCCCATATATAATTTTTTAAGAAAATTAGGACAATTTATTGGTTTTAATTTAAGCTTTCCCTTTTGGCAACAATATGTAAATTTTCCATCTTTAGATTTTTCACATGCAAAGTTTAACGATTTGCAAAATTGACATTCTACATTCATTTGGCCAAGTGTATGAACTGGCACATTTATTTCATGTTCTTTTGAAATTAGCGCAATGTGATGATTTAATTGTCTAGCTTGGTGCCTTCCCTGAGCATGTCTCTGGGCATCAGCTTCGAGTCGTTTATTCATTGCGTCATCATTTTCATTGACCCTCTGCTGAGCACGTCTCTGAGCATCAGCTTCGAGTCGTTGAGTCCTTGCATCATCATTTTCATTGACCCTTTGCTGAGCATGTCTCTGAGCATCAGCTTCGAGTCGTTGAGTCTTTGCGTCATTATTTTCATTGACCCTTTGCTGAGCATGTCTCTGAGCATCAGCTTCGAGTCGTTGAGTCTTTGCGTCATTATTTTCATTCGCCCTATGCTGAGAATTTCTTTGAGCATTAGCTTCGAGTCGTTGAGACCTTTCCTCCGAACTTTCATTTTTGCGCATTTGTCGTAAGCGTTTATTTTCGCGACTCACTTTAGTCAAATTTCCGTATTTTCTTTTTTGAGGCATAATTATTTACGTCGTACCGTAGGTATTTATACGAAATGTTATATAACAATACGTAAATAAATAACAATATACGTAAATAAATACAATTATTTTTCAAATCTATATTAGTTTTCAAATATATTCTGAGCGCAAACTACTTATTTGCATTAATATATCGATTTTCTTAATAGATCTTTTCTTTCTCTTGCTTTTTCTGTTTTATTGATTCTTTATATAGGCGCACAGCAGCTCTGTATCGGCGGATAGTAGTCGTTTTTTTACAGGCGCACAGCAACCTTTTTTAGACAGGCGCACAGCAGCTCTGTATCTGCGAATAACAGCCGGTTTTTACAGGCGCACAGCAGCTCTGTCTCGGCGCACAGTAGCTGTTTTTTAAAAGCGCACAGCAGCCTTTTTTGTATAGGCGCACAGCAGCTCTGTGTCGGCTCGGCGGATAACATCCGTTTTTTACAGGCGCACAGCAGCTCTGTCTCGGCGCACAGTAGCCGTTTTTTAAAAGCGCACAGCAGCCTTTTTTGTACAGGCGCACAGCAGCTCTGTGTCGGCCCACAGCACCCTATTTTATACAGGCGCACAGCTGCTCTGTATCGTCGCACAGCAGCCGTTTTTTAAAAACGCACAGCAGCTTTTTTATATAATGTATTTTTTATCTATATATATTAAAAGAAAAATGTAATAAAAATGTAATTATTAATGTAAAAATATCTATTACAAATATTTAAACACATTTATTACATTTAATAAATATTTAAATACATTTATTCCATCACCATGGTAACTTTTTATCCACAATATTCATATTATACGCGTACCACATCTCCAATTGTTTTTGAAGCTGTCCTGCATATTTTTTCTATATAATAATATTTCTTCTATATAATAATATAGTATATAATATTATATACGATATCGTTTAAAATGCCTACAGCTTACAATGCCTTTCTCTTTCTATAAAATTCAAATTTACTTACATTATGCTCCTGTGAAGTGCATGCATTTTCGCTGTTTTTTTCGATCTCTGTAGGCATTTTAAACGATATCGTATATAATATTATATACTATATTATTATATAGAAGAAATATTATTATATAGAATATATAAATTAAACAAATAAAAAATTGTATGAGAGCTAATAATATAGTGAGTCAGCGGGGGGATTAGCTTTGAGGCCCGCGCGAAGCGCGGGCCGAAAAGCTGATTGGCGGGGGAATAGCTTTGAGGCCCGCGCGAAGCGCGGGCCGAAAAGCTAGTAAAACATAAATTATTACATGTTACATTAATTTACATAAATTATTACATATTATTACATGTTAACATAATAAAACATAAATTATTACATGTTTATTATAAATTATTACATGTTAAGACATAAATTATTACAATTTTGTGTTAAATAAATTATATTCATCCCATTTGATTTTAAATTAATAAATTTGATTCTCTTTCTCTCTCTCTCTCTCTCTCTCTCTTGCTCTCTCTTTCTCTAAAAAAATTAAAGAAATTAGTTTCTAAAAGGTTGTTAACAAAAAACACTTTATGGGACTCCCCGGGAAATTCTACCCCTGTTTCATATATAATTCTTTTAAAT